GAAATAGATGGAACGCAGCATGTTTTCCATTCAAAAGGTTTTTAAAGCTCAATTTTGACTGTAACCACAAAATGAATCCGTTTTATTTTAGCTTCTAAATCAAAGAATTGAAATTAAACAGCGCTTTAATTTAAAGCTGCAGCGCTCAGAGGGATTCTGTTTGCTGGTCATTGAAGGTCCTGACAGTTTTAGATGATTGACACTAACCATCGTCTTCCTCCTCCTGCAGTGGTGGATCTCCTCTACTGGCGTGATGTAAAGAGCACGGGCGTGGTGTTCGGCGCCGCCCTGCTGCTGCTCCTCTCCCTGACGGTGTGCAGCATCGTGAGCGTGTGCTCCTACATCGGCCTGGCTCTGCTCTCAGTCACCATCTGCTTCAGAATATACAAAGGCATCCTGCAGGCCATCCAGAAGTCAGATGAGGGACACCCGTTCAAGTGAGTCCCAGCAAATATTATCAACCACATGTTCAGGCACAAAGGTACATTAATATTGTTTGATATCACAGGTTTAATTCATTTTTAATTAGATAAGATAAACTTAATACATAAAACCTGAATGTTGCATTTCAGCATTTAACCAGTGCAGCATTAAACTGCTGCAACGTGAACTCAGTCACGTTTTATTTCAGGATTTTTCGCTGATTTACTGGGAAAAAAAAGATGATTCCCTGAAATGAATCTGAGGAAGTTCAGTCACAGTTTGTTTTGAATGATAAAGGAAGTGGAGAAACTTTTAGTTCCTGCAGCAGAAGTACCTGATACTTGAATTCATGACATTATGTTTTCAGTCTGATTTAGAAATTTCATTAGTTACTAAAACTTTATTATAAAACTGGAGATTTAAGGTATTGATTGACAGCTGATGTCTTATGGAAGTGTCGACCATCTTTATTGTCGGTGATGGTGGATTTTCTTCTCCTCTGCGCCTCGTTGTGTTGTTGTGTGTTTATCCTCCCTGGCTCTTTGACAAAACCTGCTTCCTGAGTAAAGACCAATTAATCTGAGATTAACAGGAGCTGTGGAAAGTGAGCTCAGAGTCACAAATCAAAGCTGCAGTACAGAAGCTGGACTTTTCCCCTGAGACGAAATGTCTCAAATACACACGTCTGCACGTCTCTAAGTTCTTTTATCAGAAAACTAATATCAGCTTTGAGTTAAGTTTATCGAATGTACAACATTAAAGAAAACCCGCTGTCCCTCTCAGGCAGTACCTGGACCATGAGGTGGCGCTGTCTGAGGATGTGGTCCACAAGTACAGCGACGTGGTTCTGGCCAGAATGAACAAGACCATCTGTGAACTGAGGCGCCTGTTCCTGGTGGAGGACCTGGTCGACTCCATCAAGGTGAGAACGAGTGATTGTTACAGACGCAGGTCATGAGAGGAGTCAGAGTTTAGACACAAACGTATTTTCTGTAGTTGAAATGAGCTTTAATACGTTTTAAATGATGTTAAATTCAGATTGAACGAGTCCTAATGTCTTCACCACCAAAGGTCACCGTGAAAATGTCTCTGCTCTGCCAGACAGAAGATTTATTTATGATTTGGATAAGTGAACTCGTCATGGAGAAATGTGACTGAGCGTTTGTAATGCGTGTGTAGATCAGTGGTGGTAACAGTTACACTGCGAGTGTTCGGAGCGCTGCAGCTGTCAGACGCCTGTCGTCGCCTCGCCGCTCCCTCCCCCGCTCCCTCCCCCGCTCCTCCAGTCCAAATACAGATCTGCACACCGCCCATCAGAGAGGAACGCCACAGAGTTTCCCTTAGAGGGTCACGAAAAGTCTGATTCTTTAATCCCATCAGGAAGCAGGAATGTTTCAAATTCTTTGAACGTCTCGGTGCATTGTGGGATACTCGGCCTCTGGTTAACTTCCTGCGATCGTCCTTGCTGCATCTGCGCTGAATATTTACAACGGCACCAGCAGGTCATTAAAATGTCAAGCGTGTTCCATCTGCCTTCGGTTTGAAGTCGAGTCCACCGAGCTGCAGCAGCGTCTTTTCACTGGCGGCCATGTTGGCTCCAGGCCGCGACCGCTTCTAATGTTCGTCATTAACGTGAACGGAAAACTGTCACTTTACATCAAAGCTCTGAGAACGTTTGGATTCGAGCAGCTTCATTCTGCTCTGATCACAAACTGGCGTCATGAATCTTTACTCTTCGTTTTGTCTTTTAGAATAAATTCTTGTGTTTTGGTTTATTCCTGCAGCTGCTTCATCTGCACTGAAATGTTTTTGTGTTTTGCAGTTTGCTGTGTTTATGTGGATCCTGACCTACGTCGGTGGCCTGTTCAACGGGCTCACTCTCATTATCCTCGGTGAGACAACAGTCATATTAACACGTCTCACTTCAGTAACTACAGTTTCTCAGACCAGGTCGATTTCTCTGTTTACAGAATAAACAATGTAGGAAAGCTGTGTTTCTACATTGTGTATTTATATTCATCTACCTTATACATTTACTGATTTTCTTATTTATTGTTATTTATAACACACTTTGTGGTTTAACTGTAAAAGACAAAATTCCATTTCTTCATGTTCACAGTTTGTTAACGTCATTTTTAAGTTGTCACTGGTTCAAACTGTCTCCAGCGACAGTTTGAACCAGTGAACACAACATTTAGGATGAGGTGACGTTCTGCTCACACTTCTCTTCTTCTTCAGGTCTGATTGCAGCGTTCAGCTGCCCGATCGTCTATGAGAAACACCAGGTGAGAGCCTCAGTCTTTGTTCAGTTTGATTTCATTTTCCTCCTGCGACAAACTGAATCCATGAAGTTCTGAACATTTGTAAAGAAACGAAGTGACTAATGGTAAACTTGTGTTTCAGGCTCAGATCGATCACTACGTGTCCCTGGTCAACAACCAGATTAAAGACGTCATTGGAACGTGAGCAGACACTCGAGCAATCAATATATTCACCTCTGTTCAGATGAACCTTTAAACCAGAGCTGAGCTGTTCATCGATTTATTGAATCATAGAATCTTCTCACACTTGTCAAACGTTGTCGTCCTGCAGGATCCAGGCGAAGGTTCCCGGGATGAAGCGCAAGGCGGAGTGAAGTAACGACAAGTCGCAGTTTGGAAACAGGAAGTTTTGAGAGGAAGATGTTGAGGGGGGGGTGTGTGGGAGGGAGGGAGGGAGGGTGGGACGACATGAAGGAGGGACGGAGGAGGAGAGGAGGGGTCTGGCGGCGACGCAGCCCTTCTTACTTTATTTGTCAAAAAATTAAGAACACTTTTTTTCCAATTCAGAATTCCTGTGTTTTCTGGAAAAGTCGAAGCAGGTTGATGACGTTGATATTTAACATCTCCCCTTCTTTTTTATTTCTAAAATCAAGTTTTGGAATGTCGGTTTCTGAGACGTTAAAACTCCCAGAAACACATTTTGATCCTGGACAAACCCTCTCTCCCTCTCCACCCAGTGCATTGTGGGAGGTCTGATGCTCCCTCAGCTGGGTTTGGATGTGTTTTTTTATTTTTTTCGTGATTTGAATTCTTCTTTCTTTCCCCGTCGCCGTCGAGCCGAGTGGAGAGATTCTTGTTGGGAGACGAGCGCGAGCAGCCGACAGCACCTCATGTACTTTTCTCGTGTTTATTTTTTTTTGGTATGAATATTCTCGTAGAGTTAGAAGTATTTCGTGATTTTACCATCGTGTCCCTAAAACTTCAAGCTCGTGTCTTCGGTAAACTGCTGCGTGTTTGCGCCTCGATGTGGTGACGGACGGATTTGACTCCTGACGAGGCAGCGGAGGGGGCGGGAGGGGTGTGGGGGGGGTGTATTACCATTTAAAAACTTCATCGCTTCTGAGTAACTTTAGCTACGAACATCTAGAAAAACCTTCACCAGACAAACAGAAACACGATTATTACAAGTTATTTCCATGTCATTGCAGTTGTGTAGTGATGAGAAACTCCGGAAGGAACACGTTTACATTCATCGACATCAGAAAAATATTTAAAAAGTCAAAAAAAACTAAAAAGAAAGTGGGATTTAAAGAAAACTCAATAAATAATCATACTGTCTGTGGAGCCGTTATCTTAATGAAGTTGCAACTTGATGTGACTTTGGGGAAAAACCTTCAAGCATTTGTTTGTTATGCAAGTATATTTGTGAATGATAAACTTCATACTTCAATTGTGACGATAAAAAGCTTCCAGCCGGGAGCCGTGTTTGTGGAATGCATTGTGAGATGTAAACAATTATCAATAAAGCTTCTAGACAAAGAAGTCCCGCCTCCTCGTCTGTCCGTCAAAGTTGGCTTTCATCTTCTGTGTCTTTGATCGAACTTGTTTGTCTCATATTCTAAAATTGACACAATTCACTCAACTTAAAAACAGTTTCTTCACTTTGATCACAGATATTTTCAAACTGTCTCAACTCTGACACCAACTTCCTGTGTCGGAGCAACATGTGACCGACACAGGAAGTGCAGGTTTATTTTTATAATATATTAACTGGAATTACACTGAATGTTGAAAAAAAATGTAAATATTATAATAATGCTACAATGAAACGTTTCTAGAAAATGAAATGGAATTGAACCTCTTTGCGTCGCAGTTCCACCCCTGAATCTTCGACTTTCAGCAAATGTCTTTAATTAGCATGTTGTTAGCACAAAAGCATGCAGATGTTAGCATTTATTGAGGCACCACTGTCAATAACTACAAACCACAGACGTAAATAAAGATGGACGACATGGTGTCAAAGATGGTTTCCGTCATTTCACTTTAATTATTTGAGATAAAGTCTGGCTCATGATTGGTCGAGTGCATCAGCAGAGCTCGATTCCTCGGCTCCACGATCGCTGCACGGACTCCAAATGTGCGAGATGGTGGCGTTTGTATTTGAGATATTCGTCTTCATATCTGGACAGACAGAAGTAGAGACGCGTCGTCCGTCTTGATTTACAGTCTGATTCAGACCTTTTCTTCAGGAGAGCGTCTCAAGATACATTTTATTTGCTCGTGTTGCAGAAAGAGAAAAACAGAACTCTCTGCAGTGGTGAATGTAAAGATCTTTATTTTCTTAAACATTTGGACGGTTCCAGTGTTTTTATCGTTCAGTCGTAGAAGGGGATGTCGTTCATGCAGAAGTCTGGCTGCAGGCTCTGGAAGGTGCAGTCGGACGTGTTGAGCGCACAGCGGCCGCAGTAACAGCTCACGGCCACAGGGTAGGAGACGGTCGGGTCCACGCCTGGAGGACAGTCCGGAAGTTCAAACGTCTTGTAGTACAGCTCCTGGTACGTGCACACGTGCTGGTACATGTTGAGGAAGGGGATCTTGGCGACGGGATCCTGGAGCGAAGCAGAGATAACGAGATGCTGATAACCTGCAGCCACACCTACTGGTCAACAGGTGTAACTACTGCCGCTTGGTTTTCGGTAAATTTGTTTTGGATCGATTGTATCGTGGAACTTGTCACGACGAAAAGGTCACTGTGACTTCACGAAACAAAAAGTCGTATCATAGCACAACATCATGAGATCTTGAGATGTTTCTCAACTTTGAATCTAGTTTCCCAGAATACCTTGGTTTTGCAGTGTCCACTGCAGATGGTGGTTTCCACGGTGTGACACTTGGGACAGCCCTCCTTCTCCAGAGACACCATTTGCTTGATGAGAAGACACGTCGGCAGCTGGAAGGCCACTGAAGACAGGAAACAACACAACTCTCACTTCCTCTGTGACAGTTCACGTTTGATCTTCTTCTCAACTCAAACAGCTGATGTTGTTTCATACATTTTTCTTTAGACTTCGATTTAAGTCAAAAGTGTTGAAAACAATCACATATGAAAATGTCTTAGTTTCTCTTGTGTTTACCTGCGGGGGCCAGGGGCCACATGGAGGAGAGAAAGAAAATCAGCGTCAGAGGGACCTTCACTCTCAGGCTGATCTGCATCGACATCCTGCAGGAGAAGAAGTGTTTGTGTCGACGGTTCAACAGCTGACGGAGGACGAAGAGAAACAAACACACAACACCAGACATTATTTTATAATATACATCATGCAGCCAGCAGGGGGGGTCAGGAGGCTTCTCTCCATGTCGCCCAGAGTCAACAACAAAATCTGAACTGTCTGAAGAGAAAAACACGTTTAAAGAGTGAAACCCTTCCTTCCGTCATCTGAATGGTTGAAATCACAAAGAAACAGAAGAACAATCAGTCACATTCAGATAATAAGAATAAATCACCTGCTGGTGGTTGAGCCGACTCTCCTCTGCGGCGACGTCGCCTCGCTCGGCCTTTATACGGCTCAGAGGAGTCGGTATCCAGGATGAAACCCGGACGTCACCGAGCTTCAACCCTGGTTACCTGGTTTTGTTCAGGACGGAGGATTAATCTGCCCCCGAGTCACTTCCTGTTGGACTCATCCGAGCTGCTGGAACACGGAGGCCTCGCTCAGGGGCCACAGTGACACAGTGACCGGACGAGGATGTAACTCACCTGGACGTGTTTTCATTCAACACTCAGACGACCTGGAGCAATGACAGAATCTCTTCCTGTTTACTATAATGATAAATAATAATAACAATAATAATAATAATAACCTTGAGTCAGGAAACGAGAAGAAGAATCAAACAAAACCAAGAACAGAACCTGAGAATAAAAAAAATGTATGTTTTGTTAAAAAGATGTCTGAGCCACAAGCTTGAATGTTACACAGTTAGCATGCTAGCAATAATATCATATTACATAGTATTTGAACAATCAAACCATCCACTGTAAACAAAGATGGACGACATGACAGCTGCCCAAAGTGAAGTCAATTCATTTTGATCGTCCCCCCCCCGCCTCCTCCATGTTAGCAGATGGGACAAGGACCAGAGTAAATAAATTATTTTGAAGATGAAACATGATTGACAGTTACAGCTTGTGATTGGTTAATCATGTGTATAAACCCCGCCTCAGACTCAAGATGGCAGCGCTCGTATCTGAGATATTTTGGCTTCAGTCGGAGGAAATGAAGACGCTTCGTCCATCTTTATTTACATTAAACATTGAAGAAAGATGGCTGACGTCATTTGGAGTTTGTTTGTTTATTTATTTATTTGTTTGTTGGGCAGGAGGAAAATGACGCAGTACATGATTCTGTCCAGAGGGGGGCGATGGTCACTGCAGCCTCAGTAGATCTCAGTGCAGAAGAAGAGTCTCTCTCTCTTCTTCTTCTGGTTTGTTGACGTCTCCTCTGCTTCAGTTTTCTTCTTTTTAAACCTTGAGAATCGGAACATGTCGGATTTACGCTCAGAGCTGCAGAAGTTCCTGGAAACGTTGAACATCCAAACCACGTGTGTTGAGCATCCTCCGGTAAAACTGCAGAAACCTGCGGACCACACTTTATCCCACAGCCCGTGTACATGTATGTGCAGTGTTACTACTTAAAACTGACGTTTATAATATAAGTATCTGTAACGGGGGGGGGGCGTGTATTCACCAGTTTGTCTCAAGAACGAACCACTATTGAACCTCGTTAGAAATCTGCGCAATTTAAAGTTTCCTCGATTCCTGTACATTTGATAAAAACCTTAAAACATATCGAGAGACGTGGTTGAATTGTTTAGATGCTCGTCTTGTATTCGGCGTTGTCTCATCCATCGTAGGACTCGAACTTTAGCGCAGTTTAGCTTCGGGAGGTTCTCCTCTGTCTTTACAACACGACGTCTTTGGAAGACACGTGGACGCATTAACACGTTGTCATTAGAGGGAAAACAAAGTTGTATTTCGTGTCATGAATGAGCCGAATTAAAAAGCAGATGAATGGAAGATGGAATCCTGTGAAAACCTGTTTATTTTTTACGTATTTGTGCGTACAACGTATAACAATCTCAAAAGTGACGTGTTTTTAAACGGAGTCTGGGGAAACGGGCTCCTCAACCACAAAACGTCACTAAATATAAATATGACATTTTTCTAATCGAATGTCAAACAGGTTTTTTTATTTATACAGTTTCTGATCAGACCAGTCTCCGTTTGCACTGCATGGACCTGCAGCCTCCTGCAGGGGGCGCTCTGATACCACTCAGTGTTTGTTTCTAGTTTCTTTACTAACGTGGTTTTATATTTATTAAAAACTTTTAAAGAAAGAAGGAAATCCGATAAATACACAATAGTCATAGAAAGTGTTGATTACTTCATAAAGTTTACAAAAACTAAAACTTTTGTTGTTAATTCAAGAAACGATTTAACTTCGGAATAAATCTAAAACGAGACACTTTGACCGAGTGAAGAAATAAACAGGTTCTGTTCTGAAGATCATTGGTTTTTATTGATTGGTTTCTGAGCCTGCAGGTTTTCACGGTGGAGGAGATGATGCCTCACCTGCAGGACGTGAGCGGAGCCGTCACTAAAAACCTCTTCTTGAAGGACAAGAAGAAGAAAGGCCTGTGGCTGGTGTCGGCTCGCCACGACCGTCAGGTGAGCAGCGTCCTCTCAGTAACAGAGTCTGTGTGTTTCCCCTGAAGTTTAAATCACGTGATCACCTGACAGACGTGTCTCCTGCGTCTCTTCCCTCCTGGTCCTATAATCCTCCCTGTTCCTCCACAGGTGAACCTCAATGACCTCGCCAAGAAGCTCGGCGTCGGCAGCGGCAACCTGCGCTTCGCGGACGAGGCGGCCATGTTGGAGAAACTCAAGGTGAGAGCCGATGAACCCGTCAGCAGTCGAGTGAGGAGAGAAACATTCATTTCATGGACATGGTCTTTATTAGCAAGTTATTCATGATATAAATAAAGCGTAGCTGCCTCTGTTGCCCCCCCCCCCCCCCCCCCTCAGGTGGGTCAGGGATGTGCGACGGCTCTCGCTCTGCTCTTCGATAAAGACCAGAGCGTGAAGTTCGTCCTGGACCGGGACCTGGTGGAGGGCGACCATAAGATGGTCTACTTCCACCCAATGACCAACGCTGCCACCATGGGGCTCCGCCCGGACGACCTGCTGCGCTTCCTGAAGGAGACGGGACACGAACCCGTCCTGGAGAGCTTCGAGTAGGAGAGAGCGGGACGCCGGAAGTCCAGCGGCATTAAAAACCAGGATCCGGCTGCAGGAAGAGAGCGTCACAGTCGTGTCTCGACCTGAAGCCGACCTGAAGAGACTCGGGCAGAACAGGACTGCTCCTGCGTCAAATATTTAAAAGTGAAACACAAACATTTTAAAGTTTTAATTAAGAAAAGAAGCTTCTCTCAGCGTTGATGAGTTAAACGAAGCAGCTCAGTCAGAATCATTCGTTTCTAACGAAGTCGTCTTCATCAGAAATCAGCATCACACAATTATTTATTTTGATAATAAAATAATTCTCACAAATCTTTTTCTGGATCATCTTGTTTTTATTTGTTTCTCTGTCACTTCCAAGATCACGTCTGTTTTTCTTTTTTCAAACATTCGACATGTTTTATTTTAGTAAACACTGAGTTTTTACTTCTATGGATCTTTTTCTATTGACTCTGCTGATGTCGTCCCACCCACTGAACTGAAATATTACCCATGATCCTCTGCTTCCTGAACCAGAATCATGTTCTAAGTTTTAATAACTTGAGTTTTGAACTGATCCAAGTTCAGCTTCACTCTTCAACCTGCTGCACCGGATTCTGAAGCTGTGATGAAATCACATGAAATTGTGACGTTGCATTGAAGTTTCCCTTTAAGTTCTCACAATAACACACACACACACACACACACACACCCCTCCCTCTGTCTCTCTCTTTGTGTGTGTAGCTCTCTCTCTCTCTCTTCCTCTCGCTGCATTCCTAATGAGTCCATGTATTGTTGCATTGTTGTGTAAAATTAGCAAATGAATAAACGTAACACACTGACACCCAGTTCCCAGGCATTCTTTCACATTCCGTGTGTGTGTGTGTGTGAACTGCAGATACCCCACCCCCAGTTTATTAGTGTTGTTGCACAAAGACGTTTTGTGTGGGAAAATCTACAAAACACACATGTATGTTGCTGAAGTGCTGCTGAGCAAGACACTGAAACAGACGAGACACGACAGAGTGAATAAAGATGGACGACGTGTGTCCACCGTCCAGAACCGAAACTAAAATATCTCAAGTTTGTGTTTGTTCTACTTCCTGTCGGCAAGAAGAAAATCATCTATTCTCTGCATTTGCATATTTCAGTAATTGGTTCATCGTGTGTGTGTGTGTGTGTGTGTGTGTGTGTGTGTGTGTGCAGCCCAGCAGGGTGTCTACAGTAATAACGAGCTTCACATTCAACACTCAGCCTCATTAGTTGCAGATAATTATAAAAAAGAGGTCAAAGTTCAGAGGTCAGAGCTGAAACCTCAATAAACAATAGCAGGAAGTTCACACATACACAAACACACACACAAACACACACACACACACACACACAGTGTCTGAAGTCTCTTGATCTCTGGTTTCAGTTCATCGTTGTTGTTTCGTGCAGCGTTTGTCCTGAAACACGTGACATCACAAACACACGTGGACTCCTGACGAGGTGTTTCAGGAGCTTCAGTGTTTCCTGTGAGTCGGAGATGAGGTCGTGCAGATGTTTCGAACCTCTGTGATGATGCAGATGTTTCTAACCTCTGAGGTCATAACTTTCAGTGGAGCCTGGACTCACCTGTCCTCCTGCAGCTCTGACTGACACTGGCCCTTTAAGTGATTCTGGGGGCGGGGTCTCCCTGGTGGAGGAGGCGGGGCCGGTCTGAACAGGTGTGTGTGCTGACAGGGATGATGTCATTCTGAGGCTGAGTCACCTGAGGGATGAAGAGCGAGGAGGAGGAGGAAATGAGCTGCCTTCATCACCACTGTGTCGCTGCCTGAGGAGGAGACGGAGTGAGGAGGAGGAGATCATTCTCATGCTGCTGTGTGATGAGGTGAGAGAGAGACATAGAGAATGAAGGAGAGAGAGAATGGTGGAGTCAGACTCTTTAAAGGAACAGGCCGCACTTTTTCTACAAACCTCTTCACCACATGGTCGTAAGTATTCGGACGCCTCCACACACTCTATTCCTCCGCGCTGGCGACACCCAGTGGCCGAAGGAAGTATGTTCGTTTGTCCATTTCAATGTTGTGAACCTCACATCTGATCAAGGCCTTGAAGGAATTTCTTCGTATCTGGTGAAAACGTTCACTATGACTCACAGAATAATTGATGCGATTTCTGTGACCTCACATGAATCTGGAAAAGAAAGCAGCCTGAAACTGTTCTGGAGGTGATTGTAGTTTTGTCCTGGTTCGGTCTGGAACCTTCTCGTTGAAACAAAGAGGAGTGTGAGTGAAGCTGAAGTCAGGGTTGTGTAGCTGGAGTGGAAACACGAGGCCGCTCTGCAGAACACCGAGGAACATTCAGTTTGTTATTTCTGGTTTATTGGTCACTCTGGTTTTCACTCCCTGGGTTTTGGTTCTGGGTTTGGATTTCCCGTTGCTCCGCAGATGAATTTACTCTGGAGTCTTTCAAACACTTTGACATTTCTCTGCTCTTTTCTCTGTAATTATTTTATTATTGGCTCGTAGATCCATCCTGGCTCTTGTTGGCTCCGCCCCTGGTTGGTGAAGAGTAACTTTAACTTTCCGCAGCTGCGTCACTTTTTTTTAACTGTTCACTCTCGTCTCTGTGTTTTATTTTATGGTGTTAGAACTTCCTCTTGTAAAAACCCACAGTGACGTCACCAACCTGCACCGGCCCCGACATTACATCAGTACTGTTTATTCTCACGGTCGTATGATGGTGTTAAACACACACACACACACACACACACACA